TGGAGCAGACTGGTGGTTTGTAAACGGGCTCCTCAGAGCTAGAGCTTGGTAAATATGCCTGGAACTGGGGGCTTGGGATCTTTCTCACGGCTTTAATCTGAATATTAGATAGATAGATAGGTAGGTAGGTAGGTAGGTAGGTAGGTAGATAGATAGAGATAGATAGATAGATAGATACTGTAAAAACTTCAAGAAAGCTAAATAAGGACTCCAGGAACGAGTATGTTTATTCTCTGCCTATTCCAAGAACACCCCAAGGTGACTTATGAAAATAGATATGACACAGCAAGGCTTTTTTTTTTTTTTTCTTCTTTTTTAAGTAAAGAAGGAAATGGAAAGAAGGAAAATCATTCTAGGAAAAGTCAGATGTCACCACGGTAAGGTTCAGGCCCCAATCCTGAAACTGAGGGGCTGCCCCACGGGTTAGGAAGTGCAGGCTGCTGTTGACAGACGTGGTCCCCCGAAGGGTCATGTAGACACAGCCATTCTCTATCTGCGGAACAAGGAGATGTCATCCTGGGCACGGCCCTGAGCTCCCTGCTCCTAGAATACGAGTAAGAGGAAGTGTTTGACCTTGGACAGGCTGGTGCCCTCCTCTCTCCCGGCTGCCAACCTTATCCTCTCCTTCCCTGCAGAGCCACAGACCTGTCGGAGGGCTCTGCCCGCCCACCTGGCTGTCCTCAGTCCTCTGGCCACACCCCCTCCTAATACTACCCTACACATGCCAGTCACCCCCTCAAAATGATAGAGAGTGACAAAACCCAGGTCTGCACATCCACGGACCTCTGCTAAATACAAATAGCTACCATTTACATCGTGTGTACTCTGTGCCGGGCACTGTTCCAAGCACTTCCTATGTATTGGCCTCCTGGATTCTCTCAACAACCCTGTGTGGTAGGTACTGTTATTATCCTCATTTGGCAGATCAAGAAACAGAGGCACAGAGAGGTTCAAGAACTTGCCAAGTCCTACAACTGGTGAGAGCACAGGATTTGCATCCCGTTTGGCTCTGTGCTTTTACCCACTCACCATGCAGCCTCCTGGTCCGCCGACACGTGACAGACCACTGGCTGGGGATGGTCCTGAGGCTGAGGTCCCAAGTGTTGCCCTCAAGCGGGCCTCTCAGCCTCATTCTGGTCTATCCTGTTTGGTGGCCGCAGGTGGCACCTTGTGCTCTGTCCAGCATTGACACTATAGACCCCAAAGAACACTCACGGTTCGGGGGACCGCAGGAACTCAGGGCAGCCCTTCCTCACAGTGGGAAAGGCGGCAGGCAGGCGGGATATGTAAGGCAGCACCATGGCCGATCCATAGTTTTATCTTACTAACACTAATAATGATTGTGACCAAGGCCATTTAGAGCTAGTTGCTGGTCTAGGTCTTTCACATCCATGATCTCATTTAATCCTTAAAGCAGCTGTGCGGGCAGGTGTTATTACTCTTGCTATACAGGGGAAACAGAGACCTTGGATAGATTAACTCCCCAGAGGGCCCAGCTAACACACCCCTGCCTTCTACCAGGCCACAGTACCTCTGACCCCTACGTGGTCACCACCCTTGTGCCCTTATGCCCCCTGAGCCCATTTGTACAGAGGTTCCTTCGTGAGCATTCTTAGGATCTTGCTTTGTTTCTGATCCTGCTCAGGTTGTCGGTTCCTCAAAAGCCAGGGTTATACTCACTAGCTCTCTTTGTGCACCCCTCTCCAACGCCAAGGACCCCCCATGAATTTCTCTGTAAGGCAGACTCGAGTGAGATGCTCCAACTTCATGGCTATGCCTGCATCAGCAGCAGGCATCTCTGGTAGAAATGCAGAATTAAGGAAACAGCCAGAAATCGAGTTTCCTGATCCTTGATCCCTCCCCAAAACTCCTCACTTGCACAGATAGGCATAAAGCATGTATTTTACCCAAACAGCCCAGAAACATCCCTCCGGGTGAGTGTCCAGGACCCAGGCATGTAAATCATCAGGCAAATGAGGTGGCAGCTGGTGGGGTGGTGGCCAGAGGCATCTGTGTCTGCTCACATCCAGAGAGATCTCAGCCGCTAGTAGGACAATCCCAGTCCTCCAAGCTCTTTCCTGCCCTGATGACTCAGGGAGAAACCTTGCAACAATTTACTGAGCAGCCTCTGAAAGCAGCCTCTTGACTTGCCTGTCAATCCTCCTGCACCACCCGCCCCCCCCCCCCCAACCTGTACCTGACATAGGCAGGGAGTGTTGATAATAAATGGGCTGTTACAAGCCGTCATTGCTGGGCAGTGAAGACGATTGCTCAGCCTTGCTTGGGAAAACACAGTCACCTACCTCGGAGTAATCCCCGGGCATGCAGGGGCACAGGAAGGAAATGGGTGCCAGGCCCTGGGCTAAGGTCTTGGGAAAGCGTCATTAATCTGGATGGTGCACAGACCTTGCAACAATGTAGGGATGGCACCAAAGTTTACTTCTCTTTTCTTTTTTTTTTTTTTTAATGTCTATTTATTTATTTTGAGAGAGTGCGTGCGAGCAGGGGAGGGGCCGAGAGAAGGAGACAGAGAATCCTAAGCAGGCCCCAGGCGCTGAGCTGTCAACGCAGAGCCTGACACGGGGCTCCAACCCAGCAACTGTGAGATCACGACCTGAGCCGAGGTTGCCCAACCAACTGAGCCACCCAGGTGCCCCCAAAGTTTACTTTTCTACCATCTATGAGAAAACTGATTTCTAAGCAAACAAATTCAGCTCATTGTTCATGTATTCAATGACTATGTGAGAGCACACTCCATGAGGACGAGGGGGAAAGAAACTAAAAAGGGCCCTGGGTGCCAAGAAAGCAATGGGTGAGGTAACCAGTTGTAGCATCTTAGCCGATGAGACAGGATCAGGCATTTCCAAGCTGTTTCAAGGCCCTGTAGTTCAGCAGGGAAACAGACCTGTGACTCTGTTTCCCTCTTCCTTGGAGCAGATCCACGGGACCCTCTTTTTTTTTAACCCTCTGCCACCCCATCCAGTGAAAATACATCTCTTTGAAAGAAGCAAAAACCCTGGTACTCTGCAACATTTAAAGAATCTACTTTCTAAAACTCAGACTGTGCTCCCTACCTCAATTATTCTGAATTAATGACATGATCCTAAAGAATGACGTTTTTACAAATCACAGTGGCTTTGGAATGTATTACGTGCCTGCCACTCAGTTTTGCCCACAGATGCAGCAATGGCATCACCTGGGAGCTTGTTAGAAACACAGACTCTGCAGCCGTCAAAACCTCCTGGGTCGGGAGCTGCAGTTTAGCAAGACGCCCAGCTTCTTCCAGCGCACGTTAAAGTTACAAAAGCGGTGCTGGGTTGGGTATTATCTTCATGGGCACTGACTTTCCTTGCAGAGTTTGCTGTGCTCCAATGATGCCACCAGCGGCTGGTCATCACTAACCATGTACTCTGTTCTGGAGGCAGCCAGCTCTGGGCCTGGCTGAGAATGGGGGCAGCAGGGAGAGAACAACCCAGGCACGGAAGGACAGATCCCACGACGGGGTGTGTGCGCCGTGACCTTGGCTGCTGGCCTGTAGCAGGGGAGGAGCGATGAGGGGAAGGAGCCCAGAAGGCAGACTCTCCCAGAGGACAGTGGGTGGCAGGAGGGTGGGGGTCTGCATGCACCCTGTGAAAGGGGAGCGCCTGTCTTTGGTGCGGGTGGTAGAAACGGAAGAGAAAAGCCCCTTCAGGATCAGCACAGTGATCCACGAGGTCTCTGTTTCAGCCCAGCCCACAGGGTGTGCTGCCATGCTGAGGGCTGAGGAAGGGTCAAAGGCAAGGAGCCAGGCTGAGAGCTGTGTCCAGGTCCATTTCCTGGCTCCAGGAGTGTCTGCTCCTGACTTGCACTAAGGATATGAGCGCAACAGGCTGTGTTCCGTGAGCAAGGAGCTAAGACTGGGCTTCTGAGCCTGCAGCTGACAGCAGAGAAAGACAAGGGCAGACCAGAGCTGGCACTGACTTAAGACAACCCACGCCAACTGCTGCACAGGAAAACGTGTGTAATTTTCTTGGGACAAACCCTGAGCCCATGAGATGAGCCCAGGCTGCAGCCACACCCCCTCTCTCCGCTAATAAGGCAGCATTCCTTCCCCTCAGCACTTTCCAGGCAGAAGGTGGCCCTGGCTTGCTGAGTCCCCCAGACTGCAGGGATGTATATCAAGCTCCTTGAGTTACCCTGTTAAATTTCTTTTTCTTATCTTCAGGGCACGGAGGCAGCCTTCACAAAGCCCTTCACAATCTCCTCTCTCTCCAACCTTTTATATCCTTGGGGTAGCTGAGAAGTTTCAATGATCAGGTCACCAGCTTCCAGTTACTTCTGTGGTAAATTTTACATACAGTCCAGCAATTCCTTTGGAATGTGTTCTCTAACTTGGCAGCCGAGTCGAAACCTCAACATTACATCTTGTGGCATGTGTAATAGGAAAAGAAAACCCCTAGGAACACCCTAAGTGTTTATCAATATTAGTTTAGTAAATTATAGAACATCCATCCTTGGAATATTATGCAGTGGTTCAAAAGCATGAGGTCTGTCTCAATGTGTGAACACGAGATGGTATCCAAGATGTATTATGTGAAACAGCAAGTATCTCGTATTGTCTTATTTGTGTCTAAAAGAAGAGGGGGAAGTGTTCACATATAGGTCTTTATGTGCATAGAATATTTCTGGAGGTACGTATTAGAAACTGTATTGTCCACTGCTTCTAAGTAAGGGGCCTTGAAGGCCAGAGCTAGAGGGGAAGACTCAGTTTTTACTGTGCACTATTTGGTATCTCTGAATATTTGTGTGTGTGTATATATATATTTTTCTGAGTGTATATACGAATATATAATATATAGATAACACCTTCAATTCCCAAAGAATTATAGAGTCATTTAAAATGGTGATTGTGAAGATTAACATAGCAACAGGGAAAATTTTATGACATAATGTTAAGTGAAAAAGGCACAATTCCAAGTCATTATGTGCATTCTCATTTCAGTCACATAAAGATAAGGAGATAAACAAAATTTAAGAGCAGTTTTATTGTAGTGCTGGGATTTTCCATACTTACAAAAAATCAACAATAAAGTTGAGGTATATTTTATATACGGTATAATAAATATAATTTATAAGTGCACATTTAGATGAATTTTGATCAATTTATACACCTTTATAACCATCACTACAATCGAGTCACAGAACATTTCCATCATCTCAAAAAGTTTCCTTGTGCCCATCCTATTCAATCCTGGGATCAATACCACAATCAATGATGTGTTTTCTGTCACTGTAAGTTAGACTCGGCTTTTCTACAGTTGCATCTAAGTGGAATCATATAGTATATACTCTTTTTGTGTCCTGGATTTTCTTTTGCTCAGCATATTGCTTGTATCCACCCTCCCCTTCTTCCTTAGTAACCAAATCCTCAACAACATACCCAGCTAAAAGATTATATCTCCCAACCCTCCTTGCAACGAGATGTGCCCATATGATAAAATTGTGATCAAAGAAACACAATTAAAAGGGTCTTTGGAAAGTCTCTGTAAAAGTGAGAGACAGATACCCTTTTTCTTTCTTCCCCTTTGTCTTGCTGTTGGCTTGGAAGCTGCACCTGATGAGTGGAGCTCCAGCAGCCATCTTGGAATATGAAGTGACCCTAAGGATAAGTAGAAAAAGAAAATGAGCCTGGGTCTTTGGTGACACAATGGTGCTGCCATACCAGCTTGACTCCTTTCACCTTAAACAGCTTTTATATGGGGAAAAAAAAAAAAAGTTTCTTGTTTAAGAACAAGTATTTGGGGCTTTAAAAAAATTTTTTTTAAATTACGTTTCTTTATTTTTGAGAGGCAGAGAGAGACAGAGCATGAGTGGAGGAGGGGCAGAGAGAGGGAGACACAGAAACAGGCTCCAGGCTCCAGGCTCTGAGCTGTCAACACAGAGCCTGACGCAGGGCTCAAACCCACAAACCATGAGATCATGACCTGAGCCAAAGTCGGACACTCAACCGACTGAGCCACCCAGGCGCCCCTGGGCTTTTCTGCTATATTTGTAGCTAAAACTAATTCTAATTGTTCCATAAACCTTTTAGCACAAGTTGATTTTTGAAAAAAATATGCATATGTTTCATTAAAAATTTAATTTTAATTAAAAAATAAACCGTTATGACAAAATCTGACAAAAAAGTTCAACAAAAACACCACAGACCACTGTTTCTCATGAAGATAGATGCAAAAATTCTTAACAAAATGTTGGCAAATCGCATCCAGCAATATACAAAAAGAAGAATGTACCATGACCAAATGGGGTTTATCCCAGGAATGAAAGGTTGATTCAGCATTCAAAAATAAATCAATGTGTATGTTAAGTTACCTGAATTTAAATTAAAAAAAAAGAAAAAAGAAATAAATCAATGCAATTGACCATATTAATAGAATACAAGATTTTAAAAATCAAACAATCATCTCAATAGATGCAGCAAAAACATTTGAAAAAATTCAATATTCCCTCATGACTAAAAACTCTCAGCAAACTAAAAATGGAAGTGAACTTCTCAACTTGATAAAGGGTAATTCTGAAAAAAAAAAAAAAAAACAAAAAAACACAAAAAAACCTACAGCTAACAAGATCCTTCGTGGTGAAAGACTGAATGCTTTCCCCTAACGTAACAATGAAAGCGTGACTGGTTTTAACACACCTATTGAATATTGTGCTGATTCCTTAGCCAATGTACAAAACAAGAAAAAGAATGAAAAGGCACAAAATTTGGAAAGCAAAAAGTAAAACTTTCTCTATTTACCGGCTACATAGAAAACTCCAAGGAATCTTAAAAATAACCCAATCAACTAGAATTAATAAGTGAACTTAAGAAGGTTAAAGGATACAGGGTCAATATACAAAAACCAGCACACTAGCAACAAACAATTGGGAAATTATAATCTTATAAATCCCATTCATAAAAACATCAGAAAGCATATAATACTTCGGGGTAAATTTAATGAAAGATGTCTAAGACTTCTACATTGAATATTATAAAATACTGAATATGTAAAAAACATATATAAGCTGAGAGCAACTAAAGAATGCTTAAATAAATGAATAGATATACCACAGTCATGGATTGAAAGACTCAATATTATCAAGATGTTAGTCTCTCCAAATGGATCCATAGATTCAGTGCAATCATATTTGCACACTACTATGGTTTTTATTTCTTTTTTCACAACTATGGATTTTAGACATTGACAAGGTGATTGTAAATTTACATGGAATTTTAAAAGTAATACAATGAATCTAAAATAGAAGAGGGGTGCCTGGGTGGCTCAGTCAGTTAAGCATCCGACTTCAGCTCAGGTCATGACACCTGACAGTTCAGACCCTGGAGCCTGTGTTGGATTCTTTGTCTCCCTCTCTCTCTGCCCCTTCCTCACTCATGCTCTGTCTCTCTGTCTCTCAAAAACAAATACGTTAAAATTTTTTTTTCAAGTAAAAAAAAAAAGAATAAAACAAAACCAATGCTTTAATGGAGACAGCAGAGAGAAGGGAAGAATCCCTCCAATCAGTGAATCACTCCAACTCAGGAGAGCTCCTCAAGGGAGACACCATTTGAACTGTGGGTTGAAAGGTGACTAAATACTTAACGGGTGGGGACATTCATGAAAGGCATTGATTTACTTAGGTTTTCCAGATCATAAGGAACTAAAATTCATCCCATTTAGTTAAATGAAGGAGTTGCATGTGAAACTATCCAGAAGATCAAGTCTCATGGAAATCCTTAGAAAGACCTCATGGGGGGCGCCTGGGTGGCGCAGTCGGTTAAGCGTCCGACTTCAACCAGGTCACGATCTCACGGTCCGTGAGTTCGAGCCCCGCATCGGGCTCTGGGCTGATGGCTCGGAGCCTGGAGCCTGTTTCGGATTCTGTGTCTCCCTCTCTCTCTGCCCCTCCCCCGTTCATGCTCTGTCTCTCTCTGTCCCAAAAATAAATTAAAAAAAAAAAAAAAAAAAAAAAAAAAAGAAAGACCTCATGGGTTCTCAGCTTGGAGGGCAGTCCTGAATCCAAGGCTCCTGTCCTGGCCTCAGCAGCTGGAGCCCCTAAATATTTAATGTCGTCTCCTGTCTGTGTCCATCCCCTCTCGGCTCCTCTGTCGTCTGCTTTTTTCTCTCTGTACCTCCAGATATGAAGTTAAAAGGATAGGTTAGAACCAGATGGCAAAAGGCTTTGTTTGGCCAGGCAGGTTGGTTTTTATCGTTATAGCTACTGAAGCTTCTTAAACAAGGGAAAGAACTGGTCAGATTTGGCCTTTTGGTGGATAATTCCACTGGTGTGCGGATGGGCTTTCAGAGGCAGGAGACCAGGGAAGAAGGGATTCCAAGTAAGAGAAAATGAAGCTCAAAACCAATGGAACTCCGAATGTGGGGGTCTGGGTAGTCGTAAGATACATCCTATTCTGGTCAAAATTTTTTATATCTCCTTAGGAAGCAGAGGGAAGGAGAGTTAAAGCATCTGCATTTGCAAAAACTCCCCAGTTGATCCTGGTTGAGAACTACTAGTCCAGACAAAGCGGCTTTTATAGGGACAGAGTGAAGACAGAGGGAAGACAGGGATGGATTCGGGGAGCACTGGGTTTGATGGAACCAGAACCCGGGTAACTGCAGTTTTTAGCTGAGGAAGCTGTGTGGATGACGGCCTCATTTTCCAGGCTTTGGGAAATAAAGAGCAGACTGGGTGTATACACGGGACTGGAGGTGAGAGAGGTTGAGAGAATAATTTCTGCACATCCCACAGAGAGATCCCAGGAAGTCAGAGCCCAGGAGGCAGTGCCGGAGATGGGCCAACGCCAGCCACCCTTTAAGCTCCGGGGTCGGGGCGGGGGGCCCTGCTGGTGAGAAATGTGCTCTCTGGGCGTTGATTAGTTGAACAGACACTGAGTCTTAGGCTCTGAGCAAGTACAAAGCCATTTTCTCCATGGTTTTGCTGCCTGTGGTGGTAGTGTTACTTAGCATGGACTTCATTAGCCCCTGGGTTTAGAATTTCATCAAGTCCGTCAGGTTCCAGGATCCCACTCTGATGATTCTTCTGAAGAGACTTTAATGAAGGTACAATTTACAGGGATGTGGGCAGGACTTGGGGGAACCAACAAGGGATGTTGAGGCAGCTGAGGGATTTCATCAGTGGGAAGCTGTTACCACATCTAGGCCTGAAGGGGCAGAGGGAGAGGACGGTACCACTGAGGCCCAGGGCAAATGAGCTGTGCAGGAGGGGTTGCCAGTGCAGGAGAAGCTATAGTCACAGAGGAAGCAGCCACTGCCAGAATGAAGGCTCCAAACCAGGAGGGACAAGGAAGAAATAGCCTGCCAATCTCTCCCTGCTTTCACTCTCCGGTCTCCTCCCGGTGCCTCTCATGGGTCAACACCGGTTGGAAACTAGCCATCAGGGGAGCACGGGGTGAAGGATGGAGGGATCAGCCTGCAGACACAAAGGAGGAAGAGAAGAGTGGGGAATGGATCAGGTGTATGGGTTTAGGGGACAAGCGAGATACACCAGTACAACCACATTCCCCAACACAGCCTGTGTGAGCCTGTGTGAGGCAGTGGCTTGGGTAACTCTGTGGAAGGGGCCGAAAAGCCACACCACAGGAAGTCAAGATACTTGGATTCCTGACAGGCCTGACCATGCCACGCACAGACTGTCCTCAGCGCCACACTGCTGGCATCCTGGGCTGTGACAGCCTTAGCTGTGAAGAAAGGGAGGTTGGACTATGTGACTCTCAAAGCCTTCCACCGTAGGGACCCTCGACTCTGCCGTCAGCCAGCGTGCTCTCTGGCCAGCACGTTGAGCTGGGTGCTGTGGCGCCTGCTCCCGGGTCTGGTTGCACCTCATGCCCACAGGGCACCCAGCCTGACCAAGGGCAGTGCCGGGGAATCCTGGGACCGGCCAGCATCTGGAACTAGACAGGGTGTTCTCTCTTCCAGAGAACCCTTGGGACGTGCAGAGTCAACCAGGGACTTTCTTAAACGTATTTTTCACTGTGATGAGGTACATTCAAAAAGAAAGAAGAGTGTATTCATCTCCAGAAAGCAACAGCCTCCCGGACCTGTGCTGCTGAGCTCCAGATCCTATCCCCCCCTGCTCAGTTCCTGATAACTGAAGTTGAAACTTGAGCAGCAAAAGGGAAGTCTCCTGTCTCCTACAGGGTATCAAATCCTGTTTCTACACAGTTTCAGTTCTTAAAGACACAGGATTCCATATTTTCTCAGCCACTATGCTGGAAGGCCAAGAACGTTCGGTGACCACCAACCACATGTGTATGGGCCCCGGGGGGTGAAATTGGAAGGCTCTGAAAAGAGGTCTGCATATTGGTGAAATGTATCATCACCTTTCTCCTTATTACTATAAAGAAATGGTCTGGGTAAGTGCACAGATTTGCTCAGGCTGACCTGGGGCCCAGTGTGCTTCTAATGCTTTTACTTTCCTAGCTTCCTGCGGTGGAGCTGAGGGGGGGTGGGGGGGGGTGGGAGGAGATGACTCAGCGTTTTCTTTTGGAGGTGGGAAGATCTGTGCACCCTGGCTGCCGGTTCACTCCAAGAGTGGCCTCGGGGAGATGCCCACTCCTTTGATGTACCACAAAATATCCCAGGCTGCTGGAGAACAGCCTGA